GATATATATAAGACAATACAACAAGATTATACACTATATATATATATAAGACAGATAAACAAGAATATCTAAGACAGATAAACAAGATATGTATATAGACAGATAAAACAAGATATATATAAGACAGATAAACAGACATATATAAAGACAGATAAACAATATTATAAATAAGACAGATAACAGACATATATATAAGACAGATAAACAAGATATATATAAGACAGATAAACAAGATATATATATATAAGACAGATAAACAAGACATATATATATAAGACAGAATAGAACAAGCATATATATAAACAGATAAACCATATATATTGAGATATAAACAAGATATATAAGACAGATAAACAAACATATTTATATAAGACAGATAAACAAAATATATATAAGACAGATAAACAAGATATATATATATATATATATAATATATATATATAGGACAGATAAACAAGACATATTTAAGACAGATAAACAAGATATGTATATAAGACAGATAAACAAGCATAAGACATATAACAAGACATATATATAGATAAACAAGATATAATAAGATAGATAAACAAGATATATATAAGATAGATGTGCAAGATATACAAGATAGTTATACAAGATATACAAGATATATAAGATATGTATATATATGTATATATGTATATATATTATATATATATAATATATATATATATATATATATTATATGTATGTATGCATATATATATACGCATGTGTATACATTTTTTGTATACATTTTTATCCTAAATTTATACATATATATACATATATCCATCCATATACGTATACATATATTTACACATACATATACCTACACATATATACAGTCACACACACACAATATATATACATATATATACACACATTTGCCTATTATTACCGGCATAAACATATAAATACACATACATGTACCTATATATACTCGTGCATACACATACATTTATTACATTATATATACACATATATATAACATATACATACACACACATACACATATACATACATACATGTCTAAACGTCCTTTCATTTGTTGGTATGTACCCTCCAACCCCCACCCCACCCCACCCACCCACCCCCCTCCCCCACATATATACACATATATACATATACATAACACACATAAACATAACACACATACATGTCTAAACGTCCTTTCATTTGTTGTATGTACCCTACAACCCACCCCCACCCCACCCACACCCACCCACTCACCCCTCCCCCCACCCACCCCCTCCCCCCCACATATATACCACATATATACATATACATACACACACATAAACATACACACACATACATGTCTAAACGTCCTTTCACTTGTTGGTATGTACCCTCCAACCCAACCCCCTCCTCCACCCACCCACCCCTCCCCCACATATATACACATATATACATATACACACACACACACATAAACATATACATACATATATGTCTAAACGTCCTTTATTTGTTGTATGTACCCTACAACCCCAACCCCCCTCCCCCCACCCCAACCCCCACCCCCACCCACCCACCCACCCAGTCACCGCGGAAATTTCGACGCTGCGGCAGAAAGTGATCAGTCTCTCCTCTGCGGCGACCGGGGTGCAGAACCGCTGCCAAGATCCCGCGGGCCCTTAGCACCTTTCCACCGACTTTCTAAAATCATCGTCTGGGCAGTTTGCACACGTGACGAAAGGCGTGGAAATGAACCCCGATCGAGAATTGGACATATACTGCCGGTTTGTTAGCCTTGTGCGAGGTCTCAACCCAAAGAATATTCGTATACTTGACATGCATAAATAAAGAAATAAATGCATATCTATCAGTCTAGACATGCATATCAACTGCGCAAATAGATAGTTAAATGTATATCTATCAGATATGTAGACAGATATGCCTTTATTTATGCGACTGTATTCATGAAAATTAATTGGGTCGGACTTGGCACAATTTTAACAAACTGGCCGATATTCTTTATCCCATATTCACTTCAACTGTGAAATTACCTTTTTCCGTGTGATATGACCTTTTTTCATGTGATATGACCTTTTTTTTCTTCTATAAATTCTTATATTTTATGAGATGTATCATTTTTACCCCATACATACAGACCTTCTTTATCCCACATTCACCTCGACTATGACATGACCTCTTTCCCGTGTGATGTGACCTTTTTTCTCTCTTCTGGTATACATTCCTATCTTTTATGAGATGTGGTATTCTTTTTATCACCTTCCCCGACCCCCCCCCCCCCCCACCCCCACCCTCGTGGAAAGGCCCCGAGAGGGTGGTGGGTGGTGCTGGCCAGAGGAGAGAGAGAAGATATACAAACTCTTGTTTATACAGTACCTGACCTTAACTGCGGACACCGAACAGGACCTCCATTTCCACAGGGACAAAGGCCTATTGGGGGACCTTAAGGGCAGACCCATTTATAACCCCCAGTACAGCACCGATGCCCAGGCTCCGTGTTATTATACGACCTACACGTTTCTAACCTGACTTCAAGTCGAACTTTAGACAGTATTGCCAAAATAGATTCATTGTGACTTTGTTTTGCACTGTTATTCTTTTGTTCTTTTATATTAGATGTATACATATGTTTACGTGTGTGTATGTATGTATATGTATGTATGTGTATGTGTTATATTATATATATATATATATATATATATATATATATATATATATAGAGAGAGAGAGAGAGAGAGAGAGAGAGAGAGAGAGAGAGAGAGAGAGAGAGAGAGAGAGAGAGAGAGAGAGAGAGAAGAGAGAGAGAGGAGAGAGAGAAAGAGACACAGAAAAAGAAAGAGAAAGAGAAAGAGAGTTTTTTGGTGTGCTGTGCTTGTGCGTATGTGCGTGTGCGTGCGCGCGTATGCGTGTGCACGTGCATGTAATAATGAGAAGAAACAGATTAACCCCCATTCAAAAAAAAATGAAAAAAGACACAGGCTAAAACAAAAGCAAAATCCCCAAGGCCCGCGTGGAAACCGCACAGACAGACCCGCCGACTGTAGCATCTTGTCCGCTGGAGGGACCGACCCGACCGACTGGCGCCACGAGAGAAAACGAAAGTCGGACCCAGCCGTTAACCGCACAGCCGGAGATACCCAGGATGTTACCGTGCCCCTGTGATGATACGTTGGCCCAGAGGAATAGAAAAGGGCGGCTATTTGAGGACTTGGAGAATGAGAGATAGAAGACGTCAGAGGAATAGAAAAGGGCGGCTATTTGAGGACTTGGATACGGAGAATGAGAGATAGAAGACGTACCTCGGGTGTGTTATAGCAGAAGCGAAAACAAGAAAATTTGTAACAAGAGGACGGATATAGGCCTATGCTGTGGAGATTCAGATTCCCAAGGCAATAAGACCGACCTTTCCATAGGAATAATCAATAAAAATGACAAAGGAAAGGAAAAGGAAACGTCTATCGTGCTGTCAAATTAGAGAAAGAGAAAAATGAAAACTCGAGAGGAAATGGAAAAACGCGGGACATTATGGGAGTTCGTCCTTGTGTCGACTGACCTACATTTTTTTTTTTTCCATTTCTTTGTCTCCTTCTCCTTGTTTGAGATTACGGAGACACCCCCTAACCCCCAACCCCCCAACCTCCCCATCCTGAGTCCTTACCACGCTCCATTGCCCTCCTGAACCCCCCCCCCCCCGCCCGCCTCTTCACGCCCACACAATGAAGTACAAGGAATTTTTTTTCTCTTCTCCTCATGAACCGCTCAAACATAACGGAAATATCGCCTTAACCCTAAAAACGGTCTTTACTGGAGTGTGTGTTTCCATATTTCTTTTTTTTTCGTAACCATTTCATAAATAATGGCGATTTATTTCATGCCTTATACCGAGAAAGGTTAAATTTAACAACAGCGACACAGGAGAGCCATGAATAATAAAATGATATCACAGTTCCAGTCAAATCATCAAAGAAAGTCAGCTATTGTTACGACACGAGATGAAATAAAAACACGTACTGGAATTTTCAAAATGGACATACATGACTGAATAGACTGTAAGCAAAAAAAAAAAAAAAAAAAAAAAAAAAAAAATGTATTTGACCGTTTCATGAATTTGGAATAGAATGTCATGTATCATCCTGGCGTATTTTGAAGAGCAAGTTTCACTGATAAGTACTAATCAATATACGTTTTTTTTACCACAAATCTGTTATGCTGTTATTCAAAATATGACGACTATGACATGATTTGAAGGAATTTCTAACTTGTGATGACTTTGGAAATTTCACTCTTAGTCTATATTTCACCATATACGTTTCATTTCTACATCCTCACACCCTCCTCTCCTCTGCTCTTGCTTTCTCCTTCCCCCTTCTCTGTCTGTCTGTCTGTCTGTCTGTCTGTCTGTCTGTCTGTCTGCCAATCTGTCTGTCTGTCTGTCTGTCTGTCTGTCTGTCTCTGTCTGCCTGTCTATCTCTATCTATCTCTATCTATCTCTATCTGTCTCTCTCTCCCTCTCTCTCCCCCTTTCCTCTCCTTTCCCTTCCCTCCTAAGTACACAGAATAACTTTCCCTCGTGAGAAAGTTACTAGCACTAGAAATATGTAATCGACTCCCACAGAGGTTCATAACACGATACCCTGTCACTGGTTATCAAAGGTTTCGATCTGATGATGAACCCGTTCCATCAGATAGGCCTAACCTGAATCTCTATTACTACTGAATGTTATCTATACTCGTTTACATAATCACGTGATACCGATCTTAGTAATCATGGATATAGATCACTAATGCGGTGCTTTCAATTAGATTAAATATTCGTATCTTTATATCTTTGTTTAGTCTGTTTTATCACTTTCTACGTCTTTTAAACTGGAATATCTTGTATCGCTAAAATTACCAACGAAAGCAAGCGAAAAGAAATGAAAAAAATACAAAAAGATGGAAACGAAACGGACCTAATACCTGGTTAAGAAAAAAAAATAGACAAGTACAAAGAAAATCATTAAAAAAAAAAACGACGTTGAAGAAGTTATGTCAAATGTCTCAGTCGATTTTCACAATTCATCGATGTTCAGCCTGGGGAGCGGGTGGGAGGGGAGGGAGGGAGGCAAGACTTTCACTGATGAGTTGTAAACTTTTTTTTTTTCATCATCATCATCATTCGTATGCGTGTGTGTGTCGCGATATGATAATAGCATTCTGGCAATTAATAGAACCGGGCATAGCAAATGATTCCTATAAATCCTTCAAAGCGATTCGAAAGATATAAAAAAAATAGTAATGACTTTACGAGATCCCAATCAATTAGATACTCCTAAACTACCAACATAAAAAGTAATAACAGCATAAACAACCAGTTAGCTAATCCGCATGGTCATCTCAAGACTACATAACCATGCTTTCTCCAACAGACTTCGATCAGCGGTTCACCAACATGGGGGACCGCAGCACGACCGCATGTGGCACATAGTCATCGTGGAAATGTAAGCCTCATAGGAAACGGATGAAGAGTTGCAATCAAAACATGTTGTAACTGATGATTTAACTTTTTTTGTTTCCTGTGCACGAACTGGTATGTGAAAAAAGAGAAAGCATGTTTGTATGCATGTGTATATATGCTGTATATACAATATTATATCATATGCATAATTGTGTGTGTGTGTGTGTGTGTGTGTGTGTGTGTGTGTGTGTGTGTGTGTGTGTGTGTGTGTGTGTGTGTGTGTGTGTGTGTGTGTGTGTGTGTGTGTGTTGCGTACAGAAACACCAGTCTAAAATTAACACATCAAACACAAAAGCTAAATATCTCATATTTGGGGGAATAAGGAGATAAATTCCAAACTGAACAGAAGCCCAGACACAACAGATTCATAAGACGATAAAAATTGGATCCATTTTAGCCATATCGTCTCACGAATCTACCTTGTTCGAAACCTCGCGAATCAGCTTTGTATTGTTTATTACAGCTGTATTTATTATTATCAATGCAATTACCATTATCATCGTTACTTATATTATTACTACTAAAACTACTACTGCTATTACCATTACAGCATCTACAATTTTGTGCAATAAAATACAAAGTAAAGCGAAGAGAATAGCGGTTAACATCATAACGCATTAAATATTCACGATATAAGATTATCAGGAACCGGCATGCTTAACAACGCCCTGTAACATAATGTTGATATTTGTTCTATTACTACATACTGTCATGAAATAAAGTCGTCTTTTGTGAAGTATTTTGAGTTGTGTCCGAATAGATTTCATGGAAATCATATTAAATCTAAATGACTTCACTTGCACAGTAAGGAAACATCATACTGAAAAAATACGATGTTAAGACAGTTGTTGTTAGTAATAACTGGGTTACTTAGCAACTATTATTTAGACAAAAATTATATATATAAAGAAAATACATCTTGTCTTAGAATAGCATATTTTTATCACAATATGTGAAATATTTTAAGCTCGAGAAGAACTTTTGAAAACAGCTGAGCCGAGAATATAGAAGAGATGTATGAATTTTATATTTTTTTCGTAAACTTAAAACTTATAACCCAGTGGCTTTAAATGCCGATTGCAAAATAACGTGCACGAATAAATTAGAAGACGATAAATAGCAGATTCAGAGAGAAAGTGACATTCTGAAGGCGAAACTTTCTTGTCTCATTGAAACGGCAGAACTTGCTTCTGAAAGCGGAGCCACTTGGGAATTGTGCTATCTCTACAAGAAAAAAAAATGTCACTTTCTTCCTCCAACCCTGTTTGTCCGCTACATAAATCATCAAGTTCCATGAATAAAAAATATCGACCTATAAATAAGTCTACTCTTAATTAGTGAATAAAGGGTCTGGTCGGTAGGCCTATATTCACGAGCATACAAATCAAGCGTTTCTGATCGTTGGGTTTCACTTTTTGGCTCCATTTATTTTTCATCATTATTTATTACTTCTTTTAATTCTGGTTGCTTGTTCCCATACCATTTAAGAATAAAATGATAAAACTGTCTTTACATAAATAATACGGATGAATAAATGAAATGAAATGAAGAACGTATATATGGGTACAATTGAAAGACGTATCTGAAACTATTAAAATAATAATAATAATGACAATAATAATGATAACAATAATAAAGTCTTACCTTTTCTTGATGCAGATCTTATTCTTGTATCCTGAGGTAGTTGGTGTCGAAGCAAAACACGTAGAATCAAATGCCTTAATTGCTGGCAGGGATCCTCTTTGAATTCCTCTTTTGGCGAGTCGTTCTAGCACTTATGATTTTCTTTTTTTTCTCTCTGCTTTTAAGCCTCTCGGGTTGTTGATAATTAACGAACAAGCTGTTGTACTGTAGCCGCTTGTTATGATTGGGGGAGTGTAGTTACTGAAGGATCTTTTTTTTCTAAATTGCTTGGGAGATTCTTGTAATTGACAGATTAAATTGCCAAAGGAGACTTGTCAGAAAATAGATCCTGAGGAAAATCGAGATAAAGCATCCGATAAACTCCCCACAATATAGATAACTAC